CTAGCATTCCTATGAACTTCATCAACTGTCTGATTCATTCCATGTACAGGAGATGCCGGGCCGTAATCAACGCTAATGGAGGACACACACGCTACTGACTGGTGACCTGTTCTTATTGATCTGGTGATATTGTGGTGAAAAACTTTATCAATAAACAGTGAATGAATTGTAATGATGCAAATTTGTGCAATAACTTTGGTTTGTATACGTTCATTCAATAAAAATATGGCATTCATTCTTGTATCATTTTTTCCTCTAATTACTGCGACGTTTCTTTTACGGTTCAGTATATTATCTTGAATATCCCTAAGGAAAGAGATAAAAAATTTTGTGTTAAAAATATTTTAGGCCTAATACAAATGTCTTTTGACAGGTATAATTAATTATAATCATGCTTCCCCGCTTAGAAAAGATGGTCACACCATAACAATATCAAATGTGGCTTTCTTTATTAGCTATTGTTGAAATATAATATTAAATCAAAAAACTACAATTAAACCATTGTCATGAGCGAAAAAAATGACTTATCTGATTCTCTGAAAATCAGTTTACATTTCGAAAAAAAATATAAAAGATGTTAACTTTAATTTTTTTTTAAAAAAACAAATTGAATATTTTCTTGTAAATAAAAACAAAATCCTTCTTCGTGCTATTTGTTTTTATGTGAGATAATTATTTTTTTTTTTACTTTTATCATTAGGAAATGTGTAGTAAAAAAACTATTTTCATTATAGACAAACAAATATCAGACGGTGGTATCCTAGATGGTATAACAGAAGAAACATTCCTCTACAAAGACGGATATTAATCTGGTCTTTGTGGTTTTATAGTAATTGCCGTTACACCTCCTCCTCGTCTTTGACAATAACACATTCCGTTAGTTTCATGCTTTTTGCAAAAGTATCCGTGTGTCGGGCATTCACATTCAATAACTTTCAATCTGTATCGTGGCCAGTTGTTATTCTGAGCTTTTTCCAATCCCCATGAAATTTTAAGATGGTCCCTTTCTCCCAGATTCGACTGGTTCTTGTTACTGCGAAAAGCTGACATCCAGAAGTAACACACCTGTTCTTTAGTAAGCACTAGCTCAGCCAGTGGGTTTTTCGCTAAATGAGTGACTCCTGTCAGTGCGATATGCATTGATAGCGTCGAACAACCGGATTCATTAAAAAACTTTTGAATCTCAGTCCTAGAATCTTGAAAGAAACGTAGAGTCCGAAAAAGTGTTTCTACTCCCGAAAAACTGACCTTGTTTCTGAAATGATAGATGCATGAATATTCATATATCAATCTTCTATTTATCTTACACTATTTGTCTGTGTAAAATTCCCACATCTATTTACCTGTACAACTTATATAATTATAAAACAACGTTTATTACAACAGTTTGAAGTATTTACTAGATCGTTTTTCACGTGCAATGACGTGGCATTAATCATTAACAATTACATCCCGTAACTGATATAAGAATTTTCCAGTTCATTCAACTGTCACTTCTTCCATTTTCAATGTGTCTTTCAAGTTATATTATATGGATATAGTGATTGAGATAATTTCAGTTCTGTGTGCGTGTGTATTTTAAGCACAAAACTACACAATGGCCTATCTGTGCTGTGCTCCATCACAGCTATCGAAACCCGGTTTTTAGCTTAATAAGCCTTTAGACTTAATGCAGAACCACTTTTTTTAGAGGGGCACAGCTATTGAAGCCCGTTTTTTAGATTATTAAGACTTTAGACTTAATGCAGAACCACTTGGCTGGGATGGAGGGGGGTCAGCTTTTTAATTAATTTAAATGAAAATATTTTGCATTGCTGTCTTAGTATATGGTTTTAGGACTAACCTAAATCGCCTAATCTCGCCGGATCTCGTGAGATATTATTGGGATTGTGACCAAAAATATTCAACTGTTGATTTATTGCATTCTAATCATTCGTTTAAGTTTTCTTCTTTACGACGTTCAGTAAGTCTGGCTCTTTGTACTACACAATATTTTCTTCATTAATTACTTTTTAAAGTATTACGGTTCTAACTGATATAAGTTGTTTTCTTTTGGACAGATCCAGTATTCCTTTAGGGTAATTGAAGAAATGTGTGGAACTCAGATGTAAAAAAACATCGCTAACAACGGCATTTATTGATCCCACTGAATCAACGGAAAACTTTTCTTTGGTTTAAACGTATTTTTGTAATATTCATTTTATCAACGTTTTAATTGGTTTGGTTTGGCTGTTGTTAAGCGCAAAGCTACACAGTGGGCTACCTGTGCTCAACTCACTACGGGTTCGATTCCTGACTTTTAAAATAGTAAGCCTACAGATTTACAACTGAGCCAATGGTGGGAGAGGGCTTTTTTTGAGCAATATTTTCTACGTGATCAGAGGGTGCATTTCAAAAAATAATGTAGATTAGTGCTAATATTTTATATATATTGTGAACCGTGGTGTCTGTCCGAGCGTTCGTCTGTCTCCCGTTTGAAAAGCTGTGCACGCAGGCGAAGTTCAACATTCATTTTTGAAATGATAGAAGAACAGACATGAATGATGTTGATACCAAATTTTATTTCGCAAGCAGGATATTCTACACTAAATTGTTAGGAATTAATCACACTATCATTCACATTTCAAAACGTGACATAATATAAAACAATTAAATGTAGATTTACCGTATGTTAAGTAGTTCTTAGCATGACTGAAATGCTCAACAATTACTTTTCGCGGTGGGCGGTATAAGTAGCTCAGTGCTTTCGCTCTGGGTGAAACCAAGAGTGCAACACAATTAACCGTCAGAAACCAGGTTGAAACTGTTTTAAAGAAAGACAACTGTCACAAACCAAGGTGAAATTATTTTAAAGAAAGACGACCGTCAAAAAGCTGGGTGATATTGTTTTAAAGACAGAAGATCGGGCTACCTGCTGTGTCCACTGAGGGGCATCGAACCCCTGATTTTAGCGTTGTAAATAGACTTACAGCTACCCTATCAGGGGACGTTTCGAATATAGAGTGGCATCACAATATAAAGTAGCATCACGAAGCAAGATGATTTTTTTTAAAGACAGTGTACCGTCACAGTATTTAAATCAGTGTTTGATATCACAGTGTTACAATGTTTAAATCACATGGTTGAAAAATCCATTGTTTAAGTCAGACATAAGAGCACGGTTAATATTTGACGATACGGTGTTTACTTTACACCAAAGTAAGAATAAAAAATATCTTAACTGTTTAAAATATCATACAAAAATTTGAGCAATAATTAATGAAAAACGGGAATTTGTTTAAAACTATCGTCCTGATGAACGAAACGATTCGAAACTATTGGAAATGAGTTGTTTAATATCCATCTAAAAAACAAGTATACCATTTTTTGGAACACAGAGAATCGCTTACTGCAATGTATGGAAGCAGCGGTATAATTATAAGTTTGCAAGCGAAACTGGAGTCTAGACCTAAGTTCACAATTGGAAAATAATCAAGTGATAATAGGGAAGTTTAATGACGTTTCTTATCGCAAGTGTTTCAGATATATTCTCATCTGATTACATATATATATAAGCCGATCAGTAGCTTCTTCGTGAACAGCAAACCTGTCAGATACTGTGTAAAAACCATAAACAGCAAACCTGTCAAATACTGTGTAAAAACCATGAACAACAAAGTTGTCAGATACTGTGTAAAAACCATGAACAGTAAACCTGTCAGATACTGTGTAAAAACCATGAACAGCAAACCTGTCAGATACTGTGTAAAAACCATGAACAGTAAACCTGTCAAATACTGTGTAAAAACCATGAACAGTAAATCTGTAAAATACTGTGTAAAAACCATGAACAACAAACCTGTCAGATACTGTGTCAAAACCATGAACAACAAACCTGTCAAATACTGTGTAAAAACCATGAACAGCAAACCTGTTAAATACTGTATAAAAACCATGAACAGCAAACCTGTCAGATACTGTGTCAAAACCATGAACAACAAACCTGTCAAATACTGTGTCAAAAACCATGAACAACAAACCTGTCAGATACTGTGTAAAAACCATGAACAACAAACCTGTCAAATACTGTGTCAAAAACCATGAACAACAAACCTATCATATAATAGTGTAAAAACCATGAACAGCAAACCTGTTAAATACTGTGTAAAAACCATGAACAACAAACCTGTCAGATACTGTGTAAAAACCATGAACAACAAACCTGTCAAATACTGTGTCAAAAACCATGAACAACAAACCT